GTATCGTAAAGTTGTATTCGGAAAGAATAAACCAGTTTTATTTAAATAAAGGACTTGTATCGCTGAAGTTTCGTCGGAACGAATTTACGGAAAATTAACTAACGAACAGAGACGTAACAGTATTATATACTCCAATACAACTATTGAAAGGGCCATGTATCTCCTGAAAAAAAGGTAAACAATATCTTAAATTTATGTAATTTGTAAATGATCGAAAATTATTGCTCATATAAAATAAACCCGCATTCAACACAGTCACCCATTACACTACAGGTTCTTATCTTTTTTGTTTAACCAATTCTGGAACTGAACCATAGGTCTCATGCTGTTGAACTTGAAAGTTGAAATGAGTCAAGGTACAGACAGAAAAAATTGGAGAACTTCACGTTAAAGTGTTGTGTAAAACTATGAAAAGATTCCAGTCACAATTCGAAGATATGTCTCCGTTAAAATAAAGCTAGTATTCGAAAATTAAACATTGGAAAAGGGGTTTATTTCCCCAACAATAATTTTTCCATATTATTTACTATGACATTTATTATCTTAGATTTCTCTATGGAATAACCCATTCGACAGTGAATTCCTGGTCTTCACAGCGGAGCATCTTGGGAAGGCTGGAACCAGCTTCATAAGCGACATGTATTGAAATATAGTTATAGATTTGATATAAGTACGTTGATATCATAACTTTCTCTATACTTTGACCTTGGTGATTATGCAGAATAGTTTCGACGATGAAAAAATCTTGAAAGAACGTGGCTGGTTAACATCAAATTGTGACTATTGTGTTCACCAGAAAGTAAGTCGTTAATTTTCTTTTTGAGCTACACTATTATCATAATAGATTATACATAACTGGTAGAGAAACTATCGTAGGGGAGAAAATAAGATAGTACGTCAGTTTGATTTATCATTCTATGTCAGCACTATAAATAAATTTTGATGAAAAGCACCAACTCGTAAAAGTACTTAGACATACTTTGCTGAGAAATAATAGCGCTTGATTGAGCATTATTCAAAAAACTCTCGAAAAAAAAAACAGGCTTGTATTCAGCGAACAGCAAATACAACTTAGAACATTAAGAGCAATTTTTAACCAATACTTCATCTATTTTTCTTCTTTCATTAAAAACTGTTCAACAGCTTTTGACTTTTTGTAGAAGAAACAAATAAACATTCTGAATGTTGAATTCAAAACTAGAAAAAACTGAAAATATTAACTTGGGAGCCGTTAATTAAATTATGCAGAAATGCAAATTAGGTTGTTGTTTAGATATTATTAACTTAAGTCACACACACAAAAATATATTAACATATTTAGTGAAGTTCTGAAATAGAAAAAAATATCATGTAGTAATATCGTTTCTGTGTGTTTGTTTTTTTGCTGAGGGTTGGAGATTCGTAATTGAATATTTGATAATGATGGTAATATGTTAAAGAGATTTATATATATTTCAAAAATAGCATATTACAAACCAAAACTTATTTCTTTTAAGCTCAGGCCTAACGTTTGTTTTTGTAATGATATCCGTAGAGATTCTTTAAACATATTTTTAATACCTTGGTATTGAAATGGAAGTCTACGTATATTTTCAATAGCAGTTTGTTCTTGTAAAATTAGTTACTCCGAATATTTTCCAGACTTTACTGTAGGGATTTTAATTTCCAGTAACTTTACTTCTCGAACGTTTTCAATCTACAGTTATAATTACTCCTTGTTATTCATATTATTTCCTTCATAATGTTGTAAGCACAGCTTGTTTCTCAATTTTTTAATTACACACCAGTAAATTAGTGAACTTAAAATTAACGTGTGATGTGCTACAATTAAGGAACAAAATAAATACTGCTTTTCTAAGAAACTAAAATAAGATTTACTCAATCATGTTCCTGGAAGAAATACCTAATACTTTCATAAACAGCGTGTTGTAAAAAAATGATAGCCTCATTAAAAAAAAGTCGTTATATATATAAAGAAGAAACGGCTTATTGAAAATTTGTGATGTAGCTTGATTAAAAGTAAATCAGATGATTCAGTGTCCTCTACTGACTCGTCTCACCACGATCGATCAGCAAACTGAGATATATAGAATCTAACGAATGGATTATTCAGGCTAGTTCACAAAGTGTTCTTAGCTAATCGTAAAGAAGTAGGCCTGGCATGGCCAGATGCTTAGGGCGCTCAACTCGCAAGCTGGGGTGCGCGTCCCATCAAACATGATCGCCCGTTCATTCAGCTGTGGGGACGTTATAATGTGATGGTCAATCCCACTATTCGTTGTTCAAAAACTAGCCCAAGAGTTGGCGGTGGGTGATGATGACTAGCTTCTTTCCCTCTAGTCTATCACTGCTAAATTAGAGACGACTAGTGCAGATAACCCTCGTGTAGCTTTGCGCAGAATTCAAACCAATCATAAGGGAGTTTGTATTTTTTATAAGTTAAACATGTACCTGTTCTTGTGATATGTGACGTGTTCTTTGATAAGAGATTCACAATTATTGCAGTCAGATAATTTAGGCAAATGATTATTTTCTCAGTTGTGTTTAGTGTTATTTGTTTTGACCTGACTTTTACAATAAATGATTGAGGTTTGACAAACAAGGTCTATTAATTATTTATCCGGATCATAGATTCGAAGTGAATAAAGAGATTCTTTCTTACATATAGAATATTTTTATGTCATATTTATCTGAAATTCTGGTGCGTTTAAATAACATAATAAGTTTTAAAAGAAATTATGATTTTTCTGGTTATTCGCATTATTAGGAACTAAATTGTATACTTTTTACATAAACTATGTTCTAGCCAACAGACTTTTTCTTTAACAGTGTCGATTTTGTACTAATATTTGTTTGATTGTTTGTTTTCGAAAAATCGCGCAAAACTACACATGGGCTTTGCGCTAGCCGTTCGTAATTTTAAGATGACAGACTAAAGGGAAAACACTTGATCGACAGCACCCACCGTCAACTGCTGGGCTACTCTAATCGTATGGTGGGATTTAATAGTCACTCAAAGTATGGAACGCGTTTTTGCGACAACAA